TATAGAAAAAAATTCGCCTGGCCACAGAACGAAGTTTTTTCTATAGAAAAAAATTCGCCTGGCCACAGAACGAAGTTTTTTCTATAGGAAAAAATTCGCCTGGCCACAGAACGAAGTTTTTCCTATAGGAAAAAATTCGCCTGGCCACAGAACAAAGTTTTTTCTATAGGAAAAAATTCGCCTTGCCACAGTAGAAAGCTTTTTCTATAGGAAAAAATTCGCCTGGCCACTGGACGAAGCTTTTTCTATAGGAAAAAATTCGTCTGGCCACAGGACGAAGTATTTTCTATAGGAAAAAATTCGTCTGGCCGCAGGATGAAGTTTTTTCGATAGATGTTGACCCCTTGTGGGGTAGATAAAACAAGGAGTGGGTCAAAACCTCCCATATTCACATCAGATTTAGTATCACTGACTTGTTTCCATGTTACAGGGATTATAAGTACTTTAAATGTTGACCCTTTGTGGGTCAACAACATATACAGGTAGTATGAGTTGTTAGTCATATCCTATCTTAACACCAGATATTGTGATTGTAGATGTACCTCGGTGTTTCAAAAGAACCGGAATTCTTATTTTGCATTTTATGAGTACCTTTTGTGGGGAGGTACCAGAAGGAGAGGTTAATCCATTTTAATGTTCACACTTGACTGATATGAATATTAGGATTTGAAAAGATTGAACAAAACCGGATGATCCTTTCTTGTCCTATGAGGTAAATAATTTTCTGTGAAAATTTTTACCTTCGCTGGGGGAAGTACCAGAAGGAATGGACCGATATTGACAATCTCCGAACTCGTTCTAAGTATAATAATAATATTACGACGTGCCAACCAGACAGAAGGACTGACGGACACCCCAAGATCGACTCCAAATGTCCTGAAATGGGTTTAGTCCAAAGGGACCTCATTTGATGAGAGACTTTTTTGCGGTATCAAATGATATATACCCTCTGTAGCTTTATGCCTCCAGGGTATAAAAATTCGAATAAATAATTCGCCAGGCCACAGAACTGAATCTCTCTGCTTGGATCTCAGCGCTGATTTTTCGTCGCCGGAGCATCAAACTGATTTTTTCTATAGAAAAGAATTTCAAGTTCCGTTTAACGTTTTTTATTTTCTCCTCTACGAAACTATCCGAGTGTTTGACACAACAAATAATTTGTGCATGCCTGGTATTGTTGCAATTTGCTTCAATTCTACTGTTGTTGTTGCTGTGTAGTTATTATTTAATTGAATTATCTTATTTGCTGTTCGCTGTCACAGCGTCTTCAAGAATGTGTCATTTTTGAAATTTGTTTCTTCAAATCTGTCACCTTCCCCCTTCTCCTTCGCATCTTGCTTTCTTCCATTGTTTGCGGCTTAAACAAATTCATAAACGTGATATTGTCATAAAATTCCATTAGATTATTTTTTGACACTTACACTTTGCTACGATAGCATTTTGATGGGAGAAGGTGAGGTGAGGTTCGATGTGAGGTGAGGGGCTGACTTCTTCTCCAATTAACTGGCGTTCAAATTTCAACTACAACAATCAAAACGAACGCCACAAATAATAATAATAATAATAATGAAATTATAACGAGAGCTCATAGAAATTGTAGGGAATGAGTGTTAAATGGGGGAAGGGTGTGGGGAAGACTCCCTATGCAATTGAAAGTTTATTACAATTTAAAACGCTATCGATAAAGAGTGTATAAAAGAAATGTAGGGAATCACCCAAAAAAAAAAAAATAAATACGGCGCAGAAGATCAAAGTGTATTTGAAATTGGCCAGTCTTTGGTCCCAAGATACCTTGAGATGTTGTGTTACGGGAAAAGGCCCATTGGACGAATTCCCAAAAATGGTATATGTCTTGCTTTTATACCCCCTACCCACAAATGATTCATGTCTACTTTGTATAACATCGTTACTGACACACTATTGACTTTATATTGACAACGTAACATGACACGTTTGTCCCTCCACCTCCACCTCTCTAGCCCAGTGTCTGGAACAATATTACACGGTGTAATATTTATGTTCAATAAGTTATCATAAATATTTCCTTTAATAAAAAAATATATATGGACATTCCAGAGATATGATAAGAACGATATCAACAGCCACAACACAATTCCAAGACGACCTCAGTCCAAAACAAATTCACGCACACACACACAAAACTATCTGTGGACAAATCAAATTGAAATGAAGATACTTTTTAATTGATAGCAAATGAATTGGTGGTCGATCGGTGGATGTCGCAACGATCGACGGACGACTCTGGCAGTGACGATTTTACCCAAAGATAGTTGAATTGCTTTCATGGCATTTAAATCGCATTCACGCAATAATGGCACGTGAAACTAAAAAAAAATCTAATTAAAAATTCCGTTGAGACTTCTGGGCATGATATTCGTTTAATCTAAATTGGAAAGCAGTCTATGGAAAACAAAACTTGGAAAACACTTGCGTATGGGAGATAAGTTCCAACAAATTTTAATTTCCTGTTTGGGTATCAACATATTAGGTAGATAAACTTTCAATTTCTCAGTATTTGCGGATTTGAAGTCTTCTATAAAAAAAACACAGCCCTTGGGGCCTCTGAATATTTTTCTACAAGAAATACAGGGTGAGATGAAAAAACTGCAACCAACTTCAGACTGGTGTCTTTTCTTAACCACTCGACCGACAGCTGTTAAAACTATTCCAGTGACAGCGGACAAAACCATTTTGGTGAGCATTTTCCAGAAAAAAAGTTATGCGTGATGTTTTTTTTTTTGAAAATTTCGACCTTTTGTGGAGCAGGTACCAGAAGAAATGAACCGATGTTGCCCATCTCCGAACTCCATCTAAATTTGATAATAATATTAGGATGTACCAAGTTTGGACCAAATAGGATACTCCCTTCGAGAGTTATCGTGCGCACCAACCAGACAAAGAGGCGGACGGACGTACATCGCTAGATCGACTCCAAATGTCCAGAAACGGATTTGGTCCAAAGAGACCTAGGGTCTAAAACCTTTATTTCGTTTTGGCCATATGAAATTATATATACCCTCCTTGGCCATATGGCTGAGGGTATAACAATCGGAACCAGGGTGAATTTTTTTCTATAAAAAAATTGGAATCTTTGGTCCAGAGAGAGTTTTTTTCTATAAAAAAAATTGGAATCTTTGGTCCAGGGCGAATTTTTTCTATAGAAAAAAAATTGGAATCTTTGGTCCAGGGCGAATTTTTTTCTATAGAAAAAAACTGAGACCTTTGGTCCAGGGCGAATTTTTTTCTATAGAAAAAAACTGAGACCTTTGGTCCAGGGCGAATTTTTTTCTATAGAAAAAAACTGAGACCTTTGGTCCAGGGCGAATTTTTTTCTATAGAAAAAAACTGAGACCTTTGGTCCAGGGCGAATTTTTTTCTATAGAAAAAAAAAACTGAGACCTTTGGTCCAGGGCGAATTTTTTTCTATAGAAATAAACTGAGACCTTTGGTCTAAGGCAAATTTTTTTCTATAGAAAAAAACTGAGACCTTTGGTCCAAGGCGAATTTTTTTCTATAGAAAAAAACTGAGACCTTTAATCCAGGTCGAATTTTTTTGCTACAGAAAAAAAAAACTGCAACCTTTGGTCCAGGGCGAATTTTTTTCTATAGAAAAAAAACTGAGACCTTTGGTCCAGGGCGAATTTTTTTCTATAGAAAAAAAACTGAGACCTTTGGTCCAGGGCGAATTTTTTTCTATAGAAAAAAAAAAAAAACTGAGACCTTTGGTCCAGGGCGAATTTTTTTCTATAGAAAAAAAAACTGAGACCTTTGGTCCAGGGCGAATTTTTTTCTATAGAAAAAAAACTGAGACCTTTGGTCCAGGGCGAATTTTTTTCTATAGAAAAAAAACTGAGACCTTTGGTCCAGGGCGAATTTTTTTCTATAGAAAAAAAAACTGAGACCTTTGGTCCAGGGCGAATTTTTTTCTATAGAAATAAACTGAGACCTTTGGTCTAAGGCAAATTTTTTTCTATAGAAAAAAACTGAGACCTTTGGTCCAAGGCGAATTTTTTTCTATAGAAAAAAACTGAGACCTTTAATCCAGGTCGAATTTTTTTGCTACAGAAAAAAAAACTGCAACCTTTGGTCCAGGGCGAATTTTTTTCTATAGAAAAAAAACTGAGACCTTTGGTCCAGGGCGAATTTTTTTCTATAGAAAAAAAAACTGAGACCTTTGGTCCAGGGCGAATTTTTTTCTATAGAAAAAAAAAACTGAGACCTTTGGTCCAGGGCGAATTTTTTTCTATAGAAAAAAAACTAAGACCTTTGGTCCAGGGCGAATTTTTTTCAATAGAAAAAAAACTGAGACCTTTGGTCCAGGGCGAATTTTTTTCTATAGAAAAAAACTGAGACCTTTGGTCCAGGGCGAATTTTTTTCTATAGAAATAAACTGAGACCTTTGGTCCAAGGCAAATTTTTTTCTATAGAAAAAAACTGAGACCTTTGGTCCAAGGCGAATTTTTTTCTATAGAAAAAAACTGAGACCTTTGGTCCAGGTCGAATTTTTTTGCTACAGAAAAAATTGTGACTTTTGGTTCTGGGGTTTTGTAGAAAAAAGTCGGGACCAGTGGTCCGGGGCGATTTTTTCCGGTAAAAAAAATTGGAACCTGTGGTCCGGGACGAATTTTTTTCTGTATATTAAAAATGGGACCTTTGGTCAGGGTTGAATTTTTTCAAAAAAAAAATTGGGGTCTTTGGTCCAGGGCAAATTTTTTTCTATAAAAAAAATCGGAACCTTCTGTCTAGGGCGTTTTTTTTAAAAAAGCCGGGGCCAGAGACCCAGCGACTTTTTTTCTTTTTGAATTTATGTTCTGTCTTCATATTAAAAATCAGTTTCGGAGGCAATTTCAAGTAATTTTTTTGTGAATAACAAATCTAGACTGTGCCCTGATTTCACATTTATCTATGATGGAATGAAAAGAAATCAACAATTTGCAATAATTATTAATACTGTTGTTTTTGTTATTGTTGCTACTTACCTCATAATTTCTGGTTATCGAGGCATATTCTTGCAATGTACGTGACACGTTACGTTTCAACGTTGAGATCTCTTGTATTTCCTTGTCTAAAATTAATTTAAGACGCCGCACCACTTTACTCTCTGTCTCCAATTCACTGTCGACAATGCATTCAGCCAATGACTTTTCAAGATCGCCTGCATGTGTTCGAAGCACCAGCAGATGGGTAGATAGATGACGATGGTTCCATTTCATTCAATTCAATTTGGGGTCCACCGTGAAGAGGTGACAAAGAAATACAAGAAAACACAGAAAATAAGTTGAAGAAATTAAAATAAAAGTTGAAATAAATGGAGAAAATGTTTGGCGATGTCAGATGAAGAAAAAAGTGGAGAGAAAAAGAGAAGATTGTCATGATGATGCATGGATATTTGGGGGGGATAGCTAAACAATCAACCAAACGAAGCCATCAGCCAACCAGCCAAGCAATAATAATCCGTCATTATGACAGGAAGTGTGTATTAAAATACTTGTAGACTTCGAAAATATGAATGATAGACTGGCTGACACTTTTCCTTTTTTTTTATTGAAAAGTGACATTCAAAATGCTCAAACTTAGACAATTGATGTAAAATAATATACAGAAGATGTCTTCTAGTTTTTTCAAACATGGAAGATAGATTAAAAATCTGCCATCCATACAATAAAAAAAATGTAGTCTTTTTAAACGCCCTCAAGCTTTAGAAACACTCATAGAGATCTTCTGCTTTAGAAACCCCTTAGCTCCAACTGGATGGAGTGATATCCACAAGCGTTATTATTAAAGCAGCCTTTACGCAGATTCTCAAAATAATCATTAAAATAATATAAATAAAACTGGTGTCTAAAAATACTGTTTTCATATTTCCATTCTCTGTGGCCTTATCATAGGGCAAGGTTATGGTGGAATGCAAAGAAATTTGTTTTGCGGTTTTGCATACAAAACAACTATTGTTTTCTTTCATTAATTGAGCTGGGAACTCCAGCAAGTGCATCATACTCTATCCGTTTTTTGCTGCATGAATGTTGGCAGATTAAAATAAATTAACCACAATTAATAACATTAAATAAAGTGTTGTTGTGTTTTATTAGATGAGACTACCAATTGAAATGAAACGGAGGAGAACAAAGAGTTAGAAAAATATTACATTTTTCTAAAATGGTATTCAGGCGTACTGCAGATTAGGCAGACCTTTCAATCGAAAAGCTGTTCGATAACATAATTTTCCATCGAATAGTTTTTAGATAACATTTTCTATAGGAAAGTTGTTCGATAACAACATTTTCTATAGAGAAGTTGTTCGATAACAACATTTTCTATAGAAAAGTTATTCGATAACAACATTTTCTATAGAAAAGTTATTCGATAATAACATTTTCTATAGAAAAGTTATTCGATAACAAGATTTTCTATAGAAAAGTTGTTCGATAACATTTTCTATAGAAAAGTAGTTCGATACAAGGTTTTCAATAGAAAAGATGTTCGATCACAACATTTTCTTAGAAAAGTTGTTCGATCACAACATTTTCTATAGAAAAGTTGTTCGATAACAACATTTTATGAAGAAAAGTTGTTCGATAACTACATTTTATGGAGAAAAGTGGCTCGAAAACAATATTTTCTATGGAAAAGTGGCTCGATAACAATATTTTCTACGCAAAAGTTGCTCGATAACAAGGTTCCCAAAGGAAAAGTTGTTCAATAACAAGATTTCCTATAGAAAAGTTGTTCGATAACTACATTTCCTCTAGAAAAGTTGTCCGATAACTACATTTCCTCTAGAAAAGTTATTCGATAACAACATTTCCTCTAGAAAAGTTGTTCGATAACAACATTTCCTCTAGAAAAGTTGTTCGATAACAACATTTCCTCTAGAAAAGTTGTTTGATAACAACATTTTCTATAGAAAAGTTGTTTGATAACAACATTTTCTATAGAAAAGTTGTTCGATAGCAACATTTTCTATAGAAAACTTGTTCGATAAAAACATTTTCTATAGAAAACTTGTTCGATAACAACATTTTCTATAGAAAAATTGTTCGATAACAAAATTTTCTATAGAAAACTTATTCGATAACAACATTTTCTATAGAAAAATTGTTCGATAACAAAATTTTCTATAGAAAACTTGTTCGATAACAAAATTTTCTATAGAAAACTTGTTGAGATAACAACATTTTCTATAGAAAACTTGTTCGATAACAACATTTCCTCTAGAAAAGTTGTTCGATAACAACATTTCCTCTAGAAAAGTTGTTCGATAGCAACATTTTCTATAGAAAACTTGTTCGATAACAACATTTTCTATAGAAAACTTGTTCGATAACAACATTTTCTATAGAAAAATTGTTCGATAACAAAATTTTCTACAGAAAACTTGTTCGATAACAACATTTTCTATAGAAAACTTGTTGAGATAACAACATTTTCTATAGAAAACTTGTTCGATAACAACATTTTCTATAGAAAACTTGTTCGATAACAACATTTTCCATAGAAAAGTTGTTCGATAACAACATTTTCCATAGAAAAGTTGTTCGATAACAACATTTTCCATAGAAAAGTTGTTCGATAACAACATTTTCTATAGAAAAGTTGTTCGATAACAACATTTTCTATAGAAAAGTTGTTCGATAACATTTTCTATAGAAAAGTTATTCGATAATAACATTTTCTATAGAAAAGTTATTCGATAACAAGATTTTCTATAGAAAATTTGTTCGATAACATTTTCTATAGAAAAGTAGTTCGATACAAGGTTTTCAATAGAAAAGATGTTCGATCACAACATTTTCTATAGAAAAGTTGTTCGATAACAACATTTTATGAAGAAAAGTTGTTCGATAACTACATTTTATGTAGAAAAGTTGTTTGATAACAACATTTTCTATAGAAAAGTTGTTTGATAACAACATTTTCTATAGAAAAGTTGTTTGATAACAACATTTTCTATAGAAAAGTTGTTTGATAACAACATTTTCTATAGAAAAGTTGTTCGATAGCAACATTTTCTATAGAAAACTTGTTCGATAACAACATTTTCTATAGAAAAGTTGTTCGATAACAACATTTTCTATAGAAAAATTGTTCGATAACAACATTTTCTATAGAAACAATTAATAACATTAAATAAAGTGTTGTTGTGTTTTATTAGATGAGACTACCAATTGAAATGAAACGGAGGAGAACAAAGAGTTAAAAAAATATAGGTCTGTTAAGATAAATTCCGAATTTAACTAGCGAAGACACAAACCACAAATTTAACATAGAAAATAACAGCGCTCTGTTAACGTTAACAGAGCCAAACGAATATAGTTTTTTCCTTAAAAATATTAATTTATATTAATTTTTTATATAAAACGGCCAAATAGTACCCATATCTACACATCATAAATTATTGTTACAAAGACTGCAAGGTTACAACCATCCATTAACTTGTAACACAATCGTATGTGGCAGGACATACTTTCAACCCACAACGCCTTCCAGGATCTTTCTTCCGGGTCAACATACATATCAATGGAAAGCTTACGAAGAGCACTATCCATTGACATCATAAAAAGTTTAGAATTTTTGGATAGTTTCCGAGGTATTTGGCCATTTCTGGTGAAATCCTTTGAACAGGATAATTCCATTGGCCAATACGCTTTCCAGGATCTTTCTTCCGGGTCAATATACATATCAATGGAAAGCTTACGAAGAGCACTATCCATTGACATCATAAAAAGTTTACAATTTTTGGATAGTTTCCGAGGTATTTGGCCATTTCTGGTGAAATCCTTTGAACAGGATAATTCCATTGGCCAATACGCTTTCAAGGATCTTTCTTCCGGGTCAATATACATATCAATGGAAAGCTTACGAAGAGCACTATCCATTGACATCATAAAAAGTTTACAATTTTTGGATAGTTTCCGAGGTATTTGGCCATTTCTGGTGAAATCCTTTGAACAGGATAATTCCATTGGCCAATACGCTTTCCAGGATCTTTCTTCCGGGTCAATATACATATCAATGGAAAGCTTACGAAGAGCACTATCCATTGACATCATAAAAAGTTTACAATTTTTGGATAGTTTCCGAGGTATTTGGCCATTTCTGGTGAAATCCTTTGAACAGGATAATTCCATTGGCCAATACGCTTTCCAGGATCTTTCTTCCGGGTCAATATACATATCAATGGAAAGCTTACGAAGAGCACTATCCATTGACATCATAAAAAGTTTACAATTTTTGGATAGTTTCCGAGGTATTTGGCCATTTCTGGTGAAATCCTTTGAACAGGATAATTCCATTAACTATAGAATTTTTTTATATTCTATTCCGAGTTTAAAAAAATCCGTAGGGAATGAATTCTTTCGAACATTACAAGACGTTGTTAACTTTCTTTCAATCCTTCCCTTTTCAAATGCTTCTGCATAAAGAATGTATAGCACTTGAAATAATTGCAAAACTTATTTAAAAAAAAATTAAAAAAATTTTGCATAGATTTTATTTTAAAAAGGCATGTGTAGGAATACATGCTTTAATCTTGAACCTAAAAATGCATAATCAAGTTTGAAGTACTAATCGTATTTTATACAATGACGCTCATTGGAATTACATTTTTTAGTAATAAAATGTTTGTCATTAAATACTTCTAAATTGTCAATTTTCGTGATAAAAACGAAGACTCAATAAATTCGAATTGATACAATCTGTTTTTTTATGCTTAATAGTAATTATTATTTAAAAATAAAAAAAGATATGTTAATTTATTCTCAAATGTGTAAGATTCCCATCCTCCGTGTGTGGTGGCAACACTGCCAAAAACGTTTGTCTGCGAAACTGCTTATAGGCGTATTTCTTTACTCTATTTCCGTCAGCGATTTTTGATGGTGAATTTTCAGTTACGCTCATGAAAAGTTATTTTAGATCACTTTTCATTTTGTTATGCACATCATATATACTATAAACAAACCACTCGTACTCTCTCTCTCGATTTCCATTTGCGTTGATTACGAGCGAGTCTCTTATCACTAATAGGGATAGGTAAATCAACTTTCGATTAATCGACTTTTAGTAATCAAAGTTGTGAAACTCGAACTCGACTATGGACTGGGAGAAAAGAGATTACTCGACCATTTTAGCAGCATAAACCTAAAATTACGTGGTTAT